CTAACATATGACACTTGCCACCACAGACAGGCCTGGCTCTTCCAGACGCTGAGTCTTAAGCACAGACCACAGACTGGAATCTACAGCTTGTATTGATTTTTCAGCAATTTATTTTTATTCCTTCTTAAAAATAGGGCAGGACTTCTCTAGGCTAGATGTATGACAGACATGGTTTGTTCCATCTTGTGCCATTTCTGCTATTTCGGCACTGGTTTTCTTTTCCTGATATAGTTACTTATCAAACCATTCTAAAGTTTGCAACTATCCTCTTACTTGTGTTGTACATGTAGCAAACCATTTTCCATAGGGCACCTATACATGTGACAGACCTCTTCTCCAGTTCTCAAAGCCGCTGTAATTAAAGCGCCTGCAGTGTCACGTGTATTCAGTGTCCCATGCTTCAAAATGGCGGCGGGGGCACTTTAGCTAAAGCTTGTTCGACTACCTTGAGTTAAAGCACCCATGCCATCATTTTGAAATGGAGGGATGTTGAATACTAGGGCTGTGGCAAAGCTTCGGGCCTTAATTCGATTTGGTGGAGATTCGGCCCGATTCGGTGGCTGAACCTCCGAATCCAGATCAAATCAGGAGACCCTTTAATGTCTCCAACTCGAATAGGAACCCTGCAAATTGATTTGGAGAGATTCGGAAAGATTTGGTGATTCAAACATAGACACAGCTATAAATGTTTTTTCTACATACCCCAAGGTAGCAGGTGGCTCGTGCATCCTGCGATGCTGGGGTGGATGAAGTGTCCTGCAGAGTGCAGGGTGCTCCCCAGTGTGCTCAGCAGCAGACCTGGAAGTGGACCAGAACCACTTCTGGTCCATTTCTGGGTCCACCAGGGAGCACAGTGGGGGGCATCCTGCACACCCTGGCTTGGTGACTGGTGCTTCCTAGGTCTGGAGGGGGGCACCCAGGGTCCCCCCACAGCTGATTGCCAAGCTGGGGGGTGTAGGGGGGGCCCCCAGTGTGCTCCCTGGTAGACCTGGGAGTGGATTGGAAGTACTTCTGGTCCACTTCTGGCTTTACTGCCAAGTATGCAGAGTGCTAATTAGCATGCTCCAGCAGACTTGATTAATTGAGTCTGCTCTGTTGCATTCTAATTAGCCTGCATTGGAGCCAGAAGTCTGTCATGTGTATAGGTGCCCTCAGAGCCGCTTTAAGTGAAGAGCCCCCCCTCCACCCCGGAGCATGTGTATAGACGCCTTAGAGCGCTGATGCCTGAGAGAATGTGTTGAAGGGAAAAATGCAAGCTGTGCTGTTCACGTGTTTCTATTTTTAAACTTTTTATGGAAAATAATGCAAAGACTTGGTATGTTTTTGTGGCTCATTCTTTAAAAGATAAATGCAGTAAGTTTAGGCTTCTGGCTTCATTGGCCCAGTGCCTCATGCTGTGAGCGATGATTCGGAAATGTGACCCTAGTAAAATAATAGAGATTAACATTTCTGTTTTGTTAGACCTTGCAGGTTGGACTGGTTCAGCCCCAGGTTTGGTTGCTAGGGGATTGTTTTGTTTTGCCAGTCTCGCCTTGTGCCAGCTCTTCAGCAGAAGTGCTTTTAATTTAGATTTTGCTATCCAAATTCTTTTTCTTCTTCCCATTCAGATTTGATGACTGAGGTTTTTTCTTTATTCTTAGGCATGAATTTGCTGACTCTGTTAGTGGCGGTCTCCATTTGGTATGGGTAATACCATGAGTCAGTTGTTCCTGGGCAAAGATCTTTTGGTTTCAGCGGATCTGTGCGTCTCGGGGCCTATCTGTTTCAGTAGTTGAGTTGCAAGTAGAAGAGCTCATCTCTCTCAGCCGTTAGGATCTCCACGTGCTTGGCCTCATGTTCCTGCAGTTGCTGTTTTCTGTCCGTGGTGGTGGAAGAGAAGGGGAGGAATAGGACTGTGTGTGGATCTAGAGTAATTTCCTAAGAAAGGTAACTGGACTTTCCTTCGTCTGAGATTCTTGAAGTGACCAGATCCCCAGTGACCCTAGATGTAATGCAGATGACAGGCTCCTCTGTCTGACACAGGCTGGAATAATCCTTGTCTGTCACAGTGCAAGGCAGAGTAGTTGCTGTAGTGGTTAGTGGGGGGTGGGGGGGTTCATGCGTACTTGCACTGTAATGGATACTGAGATTGGTAACAGGCTGCAGTGGAGTGGGTTTTTTCTCCCCAGGTATATGAACTGTCTGAGTCCAAACAAATCCTTTTGTGTATGTGCCCAGCAGAAAAAAAGTGTCATTAACCTGTATAAAGCAATAGTCTCCATATGTTTCGTTAGCGTTCTTACTTCTGTTGATCATTCAAGATACGGTTGTTAAAACCAGGCCTTTCTCCTTTCCCAGCTTCCTTCTGCCACCAGTATTCCCACCACTTCTTTGTGATCTTACAGCAAAATCAGACTGTTGAATCAGCTGCCCCCAATGCATCCCAAGGCAATCTTTTGTTTTTTGTTGTTATATGTCCCCCATTCATGTCCCAGGAGTATTAAAAATAAAAGCTGTCCCCATTTTGGGACTCAAGCAGGATAACATCCTTCATTTCTTCCTCAAAACTAATCTAGTCCCTCAGTCCTGCTCTTCTTATACTCAGCGGCTGAGCCTAAGAAGCTATTGAGACCAGCTGGCTATGCTCCATACCCCTTAACCCTTCCCTGTCTGCTTCTCAGAGGGGAAAGCAGTAGGTTAGTCTGAAGCCCACCCCTTAAGGAGCCCCATGAGATAGAAACAAGTAGGGACATCTTCATATACAGACAAATAGCCTATAAAAGCCAAACAGAAAATGAGACTTTACAGAAAGAAAGAGAGATCGCCAAAAGGGGAGAAAAGACTAGATGTTTCAAAAGTAGTCTCCAGTTTTGGCCTAGCACCTTTGCACCTGCAGTCTGTTGCAGATGCAATTAGTTTTAGGAGCAAATCAAGAGAGGTCTGTGCCAGTACTCAGTCTGTGTTTGCATGTGAAAGAGTCCACAAATCAGAGGCAAGGTGATAGCCTCTCTGAAATGTCTGTGAGGGTTTGGCAGTGGTCCACTCCCATGTGTGCATTTGTTTATTCAGGTTTAATATAGATACTTTTTCAGGGGTCTAGGTGGCCTTATATCATTAATAACAAAGTGAAATCCCGAAGCAGCATTAATACAGTCATTTCACTGGAACTCGGCCAGACTTCTGCATAAATGTCTTTCTATTCCTTGATCATTATGGCACCTATTCCCTCAGCCTTTGTACTTTTACAGATGCTTCAAGATATTTTTGTTAACACTAGGGCTTTCTTCCCAGCTCTCCTCTGCCACCCCATTCCACGTACCACCTTCACTGTCCCCTGATCCTACAGCAAAATTGGGATACCGAAACAGCCTCCCAATACTTCCAAAGATAGCATATTATATTGTGGAAAATCCAGGCCTGGGGTCTTGCTGCTCAGTAGTGAAAGTCTTAAGGATCCTACCCCTATTCCGGCTCAAAGATGTGAAGTGGAAGCTAAGGGAACATAGCAGCGTATTGGCCAGGCATCTTGGGTTTTGCATAAATGCTCCTTTTTTGTCAAGGTTGGACCAGCATTAAATATTCTTCCGTTAAAACAAATATCGGGGCAGGCATTTCGACAGGGATTACCAGAGAGAGACAGCCAGAATGGTAGGGTGTCGTGTAGATGTGTAGAAAGGCCTCACTAAGTCCCCGTTAGTTTTAGATTTTCCAGACTTGCTTTCTGCTTGCTTGGGTTTTTAAGTACCTGAATCGTCAAATAAACCAAACAACTTGAGAGAAGGCTTTCTTTTTTTTTTCTTTTTGGCATTTCACGACCTGTCGGCCTGTAGTTTGGTGTCTGGAGCTATAACTGAGATCACTTTCTGGCTGTGGTTTTATTAATGAGAACCACCAACAATCACAAGACACAGACTAGTTTGTTTCCCATTTGGAGTGAATATGTACCTGTTTCACAATCAAAACCACAGTCTTTAATAGGTCCAGGGTCGTTTTATGGTATAGGCAAAACTTGTAGCTTCTCACCTCAGCTTCTTGCTGGGATTTCTGGGTTCATCTTTCAGTATTTCTTTTCTGGCTTCATTCTGGACCTTTTTTTTATGTGTCAGCACCAATAGAAATAAATCATTAGTCCTCTTGTTGCATAGGTTCCTGTGTAGTCAATGTTTCTTCATTCTCTGCTCTGTCATTTGTGTGCGCACGTGTAATGCATGAACACGCTTCAGATGCAAGATAGGTCAATAAAAAGGAACAGGCAATTTATGTGGAACTCCCAAAAGGACTCTGAGGGCTCCACAATGTCTGTGACAACATGAATGTCATTAGTTTTTAGGTGACATGTCTCCAGGCAGTGTTCAGGTTGGGCAGCACACGGACAGTGGGATTGAATGTGTGCAGTCAAAGACAAAGCTTGCGATCTCTGATTGCATCATGGCCAAAGAACACACAGGGAGATCAATCCCCCACATTCTCCTTTTCACGAGTTGTGTCTGTTCTTTATATCTGCCACATTTTGGTATACAACTACTGTCCAAAAATAATCCCCTCAAAACCTAGCAGATCCTGCTATTTACTAATCTTTTTATTGCCTTGGACACATGTTTGGTTTTAAAGCACAAACCTAGATTTCCTTTGAACTGAGTTATATATCAGTAAATAATGTACACTGGTTTTCATTTATTAATAAATCTCAAGTTCTGTTGAGAGCAAAGAGGTTAACAGGTTGAAAGAAACCTTTCTAGCAGTGCTCCCTTCTGCTGCTCTGTTGCTAATAGCAAATGTTTAGAGTATTTTTGCTATGAAGTGCTGCCAAAACTCTCTCTCCATGTATAACTGAGAGCAGTAGAAGGAGCTGGCTGAAGATGGAAGAAATAGATAAAGAAAATGAGAGAACCTCCCATTTTGATAGACTACCATCATCTTTTCATGAAAAACATCCTGGTAGTGTTGCATCATTTTTACCTAACATGGTCAAAAATAATGTCCATAACCATCAGTTTTGTCTCAACTCTTTTAATCTCTAGGAAAGGAAGAAAAAATTTGAGAAGGATGGTGAGAAACTTTATTCATTGCTGGATCGCCATTTGCATTTATCATCTAAGAAGAAAGAATCCCAGTTACAGGAGGTGTGTGATGTCTAGCAGCAATAATACTAACTTAATTGGACTTCAGACTCCTTTTCAATAATAGATTGAAAATGATAAGTGATGAAATCTAGGTAAAGTTACTTCTGATAGAAATATGCATGATGAACTGAGAGAACACACAGCAATGGAGAGAACAAGAAACTGCAGCCAAAATGTTTAAATCTGTCTAAAATTAGGCTATTAAATATAGTTGGCCTATGGGTTGTTAGTGCCTGAAGT